CCCCCCCCCCCTACATCAAATGTGCCAACTCCACCATCCCCTTTAATCCGTTTTTAAACTGAGCTTCATAACTGCTTTCTCTCCCTTTCCGTCCCCTTCAAAGTTGAAGACTTAAAATTTGTCATCATATTTAGAACAACCCAAAAAAAGATTTATTTAAAATTGTATTTGATCGTTAACGTTTTACCTTCATACAGAGAAAGTAAAAGTTATAATAAAATATTTTTTATTTGGTTTTTGCTTGAAATGTTTAGAGCGGAAATAAAACTAATGTTCAGCTTTACATCGCAATATTGAGTTCTGAAAATGCTTGAAGAAAAGAAAAAAATCGAAGAAAAGAAAAATTTCTGGATTGAGCAAACAAATAAACTGCAACGGAGGGAATAGAAGTGACGTAATGAAAAAGTCTACATTCTATTTTTGGCATGAACATGTTGGTTAAAACCTACCCCCCCCCCCCTCCCCTCCCCTTTCCTTTATTATTGATTATAAGATTATTATATGTAAGAAAATATGTTAATCTATGAAACACGGGCTTTTTCGGAACAAAATATATACCTGTCTTTCTGACCAAATAAAAAGTATTAGCGTGAGTTTTGCGGTAAAAACACAAAAAAATCGATTCTTTGGTGAAAGGAACATCTTTCAGCGGTGATGTTTGAAGAACTAGCTGAAGGCCCGTAGGATTTTATAAAAAAAAATAATTTAAAAACAAAATTTCAATTTTTGGAATTACAAATTTTAGAAATTATTTAGCCTATGTTACCCATAGGTTACCCAGCCCATTCGGCCCGTGGAAAAAAAATTTAGTGTAGAAAAAATATCAGCCCATTCGGTCAAGCCGTTTCTCTAAAATGCTAATAAATGACGGAATAATTAACATCGGAAATCTCTAAAATGCTAATAAATGACGGAACAAATAAAATTGTTTATCTCTAAAATGCTAATAAATGACGGAACGGCCATAGTGAACATGTATACGAATGTCTTGTTTTATTTTATAGACAAGATATTTCTAAAATATTGGATTTCATATGTCTAGAATATATTTAGAATGTATTCAGAATATATTTTGAATGTATTCAGAATATATTTTGAATGTATTCAGAATATATCTTGAATATATTCAAATTATATCTTGAATATATTCAGAAATATCAAGAATATATCAAGAATATAACAAGAATATATCTAGAATATATCTAGAATATATCAAGAATATATCAATATGCCGCACCCTCTCATAATACATACCCTCAAAAGGTTTAATGTTCCTGCAGAAATTCAGCTTTATATCAACACCCTGTATAATAACCAACTTTCACGTGTATTTACGGACAACTTCTCTACTGATGGATTCCCCTTTAAAAGAGGAGTATTTCAAGGTGACCCGCTTAGTCCCATCATATTTCTGATGGTTTTCAATCCAATCATTGAATTTCTACAGAGTAAGAATGATTGTGGATTTAATCTGAATGAAGAGAAAATTATTACTCTGCCATATGCTGACGATTTTTGCCTGATAACAACAGATCTGAGAAAACATCAAAAAATTCAAAATGAAATAAAATCCAAGATTGAAAGTATGGGAATGAGATTAAAACCAGCAAAATGTAGATCATTTTCCATCAGATCAGGTGTACCTAGCAGAATAAACTTTACTATTGGTGAAACTGAAATTCCAAATATATTTCAAGAAGAGCAAAAATTCCTTGGCAAACTTCTATTTCCTACTGGTAAACTTAGTGATGCGTTCGATTACATCAAGAGTGAATTTGAAAAAAAAACTAATAAATATAAATGCATTTTTTATTAAGGATAGTTATAAAGTCTGGATATACATTTCTTCTATTCGATTTCTGCTCACTGTT